CAGATCCAAAATATATCTATCAGAAAATTAATTTGCGAAGCTTATAAACGGTTTAACCATCAATCAGTACATGTTTCGAACCTATATAGGTTCATCAGCTAATTATTGAAAACAACATAACAATAGTTGATACAATGAAGTATAAAATACTTACATATGGAGATGGAAATATTCCATAATGGAGAAAAAAACATGTCATATGTTACCAATGAATAAATGGTTACAATGACTTGTTGATAGTAATGATTTTTTTATATTTAGTAAACGACGAAAGTTTATAAGGGAGGCTGGGAGGCTATGGGAGACTTAGAGCCTTTATACACACTAGTAAGGATCATAATCCAATAACGCCACATGAAAACGAATTCAAATGAAAGAAATCCGAAATGAAGTGAATGAGAAAGTATTTTATAATTCATTGTACTAACTATGTTTATGTTGTTCTTTTTTTATTGTAGAATTTTTTAATAAGTAGCTGATGATGAAACTATATGGGTTCGAAACATGTACTGATTGATGGTTTTACCGTTCCACCATCTGAGGGTGATAATACATTGTGCAGACGACTTTGAGCTTTTACGCTTCGCAAATCTACAGATATAATGGACTTCTACCACAGAAAAATCGAGTTTAACGAACCTTGTATTCAAAATACTGTGTCCTTTGAAACCAAAAAATGTTCACACCACAACAAAAGAACTTTCTACTTTTGTTCTGGTGTGAAAGAAGTATTAACATTTCAAGCCACGGATCCTTTTCCACTAATAAAATAGTTGTAGCTCCTGATCTTCACACCGACCGGTCCTGGATTTTGTTTGATTTCAAACAAAAATATTGACTGAACCATTAAAAATGCCGTTATCTCCTATTGAGAATCTATCAGTCCGCAGGGCACGGCTAAAAAAGGAATTCTGTTATGTACACAGTGGCCAGGAAGAGGGCATATATAGGACCACACTTGTCTGGTAAGATTATTGTTGTACAGAGTGTGGAAGTATAGAAAATGTACTTCGTTTTGTGTCTCATCCTGTTCATAAACAGTGCACGCGCGGGGTTTTTTGACTTCACGGAAGTAGATGATCCCTTGTCTTCTCTGTGGCAGAACGAAAGTAAGCATTTTCATTGTTTGATCGGTATATACAGTGTGACCGGTCCGCATTCATTATAAGCTTCAACAAAATTTGGCCTTGGTATCGGTTTCTGTTTCGAACGAGATATAGAAGATATACAGGGCTTTTCATGATGAGCGTTAATTAGCCGTTTCTGGCAAACTATTCAACGGATCAACCTGAAAATTCCACAGTATGCATAAGTCAATATGACCTACACGCCTAAAATATTTTAGACGAAGTGGCGTTGTCGCTTCTACTATAAAGTAGCGGCTTCTTTGATTTTTCAAATGGAACACCCCGTATATAATATCATATTATGATTCATTATCACTTTGTCAACAAATTCATATAC